AAAGTATGTTGTACGAAATATACACAGAGAGAACGATTTGTTGAATCAAAGAAACGTTTCTTTGGAATGGATCAAACAAATATTTTGATTGACCGAATAAAGTTTTGGTGGACACAACAAAAACATTTTATTGCAACTAAATATTTTTGTTGCGTCAAACCAAACTTTGTTCCATCAATCAACAAATTTGTTTGATCCATTCCAAAGAAGTCCTTGCTTTATTCAACGAAATCGTTCTCTTTGTGTAACAAACGAGAGAAGCAGCAAAGAAAAAATAATAAATAATAAAAATAAAATTTAAAATAATTAAGAAATGAAAAGTAAAATTAAGATTTATACAAAAACACTGACGTGCCCAAAAATGCATTAAAACAATTACTGAAGATTGGAATGCACAATTTATTGCGACTTTTTTTTAATACATCCTAGGCACGCCAAGTGTTTTTGTATAAATCTTAATTTTATTTTTCATTTCTTAATTATTTTAAATTTTATTTTTATTTATTATTTTTTCTTTGCTGCTTCTCTCGTTTGTTACACAGAGAGAACGATTTCATTGAATAAAACAAAAACTTCTTTGGAATGAATCAAACAAATTTGTTGATTGATGGAACAAAGTTTGGTTTGACGCAACAAAAATATTTAGTTGCAATAAAATGTTTTTGTTGCATCAACCAAAACTTTATTCGGTCAATCAAAATATTTGTTTGATCCATTCCAAAGAAACGTTTCTTTGATTCGACAAATCGTTCTCTCTGTGTATGTTTCGTACAACATACTTTTGCATTATTAGTCGGCGCAATTTTTTAATTTCACTATTTTTTTAAGAAAACTTTTTTTACGGAATTAAATATTTCCCTGAATATTTTTTTATATTTTCTAGAGTTTTTTTAGAAATATTGTATTTTGGAAATATTGGAATTTTTGTGTTCAGTTTTTTTACAATTCTTTTTATACATCTAAGAATAATTATCTTTGACTTTGTTTATGTTTTAGAGTCTTTTTTAGAAGTAAGAATATTGTATAGAATTTTTGTATTGAATACTTTTACAATGTTTTTACAAATTTTTTTATGAAACGAATGCTGTGTGTGCGCGCGCGCGCGTGTGTGTGTGTGTGTGTGTGAGACGCGTGTAC